TCTTTACTTCGGAATAGTAAGCACGATATGTTGAAGAGGGAATTTCTGGTGCCTTTAGAGTGTACATTTGCTTTCGGTAAGTAGATAAAATTCAGAGGATAGTTTTTCATCCAAAATATTGAAACTGAACAAATTTGATATAGTAAAAGGTCGAATGCCAGCAAATAGGCTGTTTACTGCTGTTACCCAATTCTTTTTTTGTTTTCTTCTTTCTTCTTTCACTGTGAGAAATAGAAGGTAAAGAAGACCTATGAAGTTCAAGAGCTATCGAACATTTACCCGGCACCAGTTGAGTGATCACCAGATGAATAAACACCATACGCTCCATAGCCACTTCCACTCACAACCTGAATCATCAAACTTTGGATCAGCTCAAGAAACAAAGGCAGGGAAGTAGACAAAAAGGGGTACATATGAAAGCTTATCCTTGAAGTTACTCGCAAGAAAATCCAATGATCTTTCACAGTTACGAGATGAACATAATGCAGTTCTGAAAAATCACTATGTTTTTCTTTTCATTTCTTTTGTTTTCTGGAATTAGACAAAGCTCGAGTGTACTTTTTCAATAGACCTAAACATATATGATGCAATAATTGCTCACGCCATATGCTGGAAATCTCCTTAAATCGGGTCACGAGATGAATGGCCATCCATAGACAAGTCTTCAATTATAATATATATAAATCTCAAAATTACCTGTGACTCGTCATAACTGTCATAACTCTCAGTTGGTGGCAAATTATTAGAGCCGTATCCACCAGAGTACGCAGAATATCCTGAATTATGTGTCCTATTATCACGATTGACATATTTATGCCCGTTAAATGCATCATTTGAAAAGGCCGGTAAACTCCCATCAGTCTCAAATGTGTTGGTCCTCAATCGCTGAATTACTTGTAGCAACGCATTTTTGGCAGCATTCAAGTCCCCCGTAATCTGGTAGGAGATATTAATGAGGAGTTACACGCTAAGATCAGATAGCGTGTCATAAAGGGTAAACAACAAAATGAATTATTAATATGGGATAATCACAAGAACAACCCAGAAGAAACCAAGAGATCCCGTAAAAAAAATGATTATGCTTTAAATTGCAGTGTTTATTAGTGATATTTTTTACAAATGCAAGGTGAAGGGGGTACTCTCAAGTAGTTCTGTACAATTTTCAAAAAGCTCTAGACTTATTGTTTATGAAGAACGCATACCTCATGGGATATACATGCAATTGTCCCAAAAACAAAATACCCAGGGAAAATCTATAAAAAAGACAAAAGAAAAGGAAGGCACAGGCACAAATTAGAGTTTACCTGGACCATCTCATCATCTTCAGCTGCAACTTTTGGGACATTTTCATCAGCAAAAACACGAATGTTTGCCCTGGAGGTACTTCTCATCTCTTTAATGATGGCCCCTCCTTTACCGATGATGCATCCAACCTTGTGACTAGGCACTAGTAAACGAGTCGTGATCACGAGTTCATTTGAATTACATTCAACTCTCTCGCTACACCGTGATTGCAAACGTATTATCGCATCAATTGTTCGAGAAGGAGCTTCCAGCATCTAAAGTTCAAAGGAATTTGTCGATTAAGTCTCGTTCATTGCTATTTAGGTCCACTACAATACATATTCTTAATAAGCTTGGTCTAATTATGAAAAACCCAGAAGCAACCCTTGAGTACACCTCCGTTCATAGTTGCTAGGGTTAATCACACAAAGCTAATCACAGTAATGCCGCTATTTTTTAAAATTATAAATACCCCAGTCGTAATTGTCTCTATTTTACGAATCGCAACCCCAATAGGAAATATTTGTTAAGAAACAAAAACTTATTGGGGAAATTGTAATTACATTAATGTGTGCTTAAATTTTGGTAATTTGGAGGTGAGGAATTGAAATTCATTGTCAAATCCGCCGTACTATATACAAACACACACTGCATATTTCACATCCAAGCACTACACACCTAAAAGTTTATGCATTCTACATTTTCAAAAATTTAGAAATTTCAAATTAAATTATTAATTAACAATTATGAAAAATTCTAGATTTTGGAAAAACTCGATATCTTCACAAACCCAATGTACTTGAAATCCACACAAGGACACAACCTAAGGTTCCTTTCAATTAGATCAAACCTCGAGGATAGCACCTGCAATTTATCCCCTACAATTATTACAGATGGGTTATCTTTCCAATTAAACTCACCTCCTTGGAAGACACGGATATAATGCAGTCATCTCCATCCGCACCATTACTGTCAACCACAATAAACGCACCCGTTTCTTGCCTTATTTGTTTGATAGTGGCCCCACCTTTGCCGATCACAGCACCAAGATTCTGAGTGGGGCAGACCAAACGGAGCATGAATTCCCTGGGAATGGAAGACCAATCACGGCCGTCATATTTGTGATTCCCACCACCATAAGGGCCCATTAACGAGGTCGGGGCAGCATGTGAATTGTTCAAAGAGATTCCTGATTTATAGATGCTTGGCAGGCTCAATAGAGAAAGCTGTGAGCGGGAGGGGTTATCGTGAAGACGAAATGCCACTTGGTAAAGGGCTTCTTTAACGACGGTGGCTTCACCATTAATCTGATATTTTTAACCAAACGAAAAATGAGCCATGCATGAAAATGCTTCAAGTAGAAATATTTGGTGCAAAGTAAAAGTGGCACTCATAACCAAAACCATTACAAGACACGATGATATAGAGATGATTTATAAAATTTTCTATACACATATTTGAAGAGTTTGAACTAAAAAAACTTGTGAATTCATCTTCTAGTTCAGAAAGAGAAACAAAAAGAGTGAACATAAAGCTTTCTCAATATGTGCTTGAAAAAACTGCTGCTTAATTGACTTATGTTTCGTTGGGGAAGCTTAACAGTAGATAACAAGCAGTTTGTAGTCTTTCCAATAGGAACTAAGGAAGTTGAATCATAAAAGACTGTTCACCAAATTTGTAAATATGCTAATTTTTTTGTAAAAATCAAACAGAAGCAAACAATAAATGCAATTAAAGCACCCATCCCCCTTTTTCTTTAGCAACACAGGTAGGCATTCACAAAAAACACTAACACTAATTCTTCCCAGCTGGAAGCCGGAAACACTTTTTCTCTCTTTAGTAATTCTAAACACTCTAGATTCTTGCACGTTTATATTCCAAAACCAGCATAAAGTACAAAACCAAAACTTTCCAACCCCAAACCAATCCTCATTCAGAAACCAGAACTATAGCAAGATAACTAATAAACCAAAAGAGTCAGATCAGCCCAACAAAATACGAACCAAAAGACAAAAAAAAAATGCTCACAATACCTGGATAAGCTCATCCGAACTCAAAGCACATGGAGGCAAATGCTCGCTGCCCAAGATCCTCACCTGCGCATGAGTCTCGTTGCGTATACCCTTGATTATCTGCCCGCCTTTACCGATCACACAGCCTATCTGGTCCGAAGGCACGAGCAGACGCACAACGACCTGAACAGTTTCCTCAAACGAGCCATTCACGGGCGGCGAGTCCTCAGCAGCCATCACCTTATCATGCACCCTCAAAAGTGCATCCTGTGCAGGGCAAAGAGGCTCATCTTCATACGTGTTGGTCTCCTCGCTTGGACTGTAAATGGTGACTACACGCTCGTCACAGCCTGGGATAGTCTCACTGATCCTGATTCTTGAGTGAGTCTGAGCCCTTAGCTGTCGGGCTATATCACCACCTATGCCGATAATGCTTCCGATTTTTCTCAGGGGGCATAAGTAGCGGTAGACTGTGTCATCAGGTCCAATTGTGTTCTGTTCCTTCTGGTTTAACGGAAAATCAGACATGGTGTAGGAACCTTTCGCGTAGTCACCTCGCTGGCCCATTTCAGCTGTTTTTCTGTTTTTTTTTTTACTTAACTACAACACAAGGGCATGAAATGTGAAAGATATACACAGTGACATGACATGAGCAACCAAAAATATGTAAATTAAAGAAAGGAAACAAAACATCGAACACGTTGCTTATGTAACAATGACTGCCAAAAATATACAGTGAAATGTGAAAGATACAGTGACATGAGCAGCCAAAATATGTAAATTAAAGGAAGGAAACA